GTAAAGTGGTGTAAACTGGTTTATATGTGCAGTAAACAGGTTTATATGTGCAGTAAACTGGTGTAAACTGGTTTATATGTGCAGTAAACCGGTGTAAACTGGTTTATATGTGCAGTAAACTGGTTTATATGTGCAGTAAAGTGGTGTAAACGGGTGTAAATGTGCAGGTAACCTTGAATACTGGATATAATACTGGAAATGAGTCAGTTGTACCATTTGTTTCCTTTTCTTTAAAACCTACAAGCTTTTTTTGATATGATTATCATGTTGATGAACGTGTTGATAATTGATTTTACGGAACACAAAGTGAACCACACGTCTGTTTCTCATCAGGCGATCCTGTACGAAGGTCAGGACAAGAACCCGGAGATGTGCCGCGTCCTCCTCACCCACGAGATCATGTGCAGGTAAAACAACAGAAAGAATGAAGGTTTGACAGCAGCTGCTCCGAGATGTTCAGCTGTGGACTGTTTGACTTTTCCATTCTTAATGAGGTTAAGTGTATGAAACACAGAGAAACACGTGTGTGTGAGTGTGTGTACTTTTACAGATGTGTGAGTGAGTGAGTGAGTGAGTGTGTGTACTTGTACAGATGTGAGTGTGTGTACTTGTACAGATGTGAGTGTGTGAGAGTGAGTGTAAGAGAAAAGAGCAGCTGTTTGTCGTTCATCGCACCAATCAACACATTTGCTGGCCGGTGTGTCTCTGCTGTCGTCTGAGAGTTAATGGTTTTACTGGTTCAGACTGAGGAGTGAAGATGAAGATGAAGATGAGGAGGAGGAGAAGGAGGAGGAGGAGGAGTGATAGAGGGAGGATAAAAATAGAAACACACAACTGAAGCCAGAGTCCCAGAGCGTCGTCGTATCTTTGAGCCGGTGATATACTTGTATTTGTTTTTTTAACATGTAAACGAGTTTACATGTGATTTATTTCTGATGTTTAAATCTCTTCAGATGTTCATTAATAAACCTGAAACCAGGTCCACAAACCGGTTTACATGTAGACTAGTTAGTGAACTGGAATAGATGTGTGGTTAAATTATCAACCTGTGAACAATTCAAGAGGCCTGAATACACAGTAAACAAGTTGTACTTATAGTTGTACTGTAAAGTGTTTTGCATTTGAGCCAAAGTGAAAACACGTACAAACCAGAGATAGTTCATCTGGAGAGCAGCTGGTTTAGGTGGATTTCAAACTGGTTAATGTTTTAACTAGTTTCCATGTAAATAGATCTTAATGTGCAGTGAATTTGTTCATACGTGATTCTGAACTTAACTGGTTTACATGTGTAGTTTTTGATTCATCTGGTGGATTTAGTGGATTGTATGTGCAGTAAACCGGTTTATTTGTAAACTGGTTTACATCTGCAGTGAACTGGTTTCTCTCCGGATTAAACTAGTTGACATGTAAACTGATCTAAATGTGTAGGGAACATGTCGAGTGACTTTTCATATGAATCAGATGTGACACTTGTTATTAAGCACAGATTACAGTGAAACCAGTTTCAACAGGTGTGCCGGATGTGTTCTGTACTCTGACCTCGGTGGTTTATCTCCTCACTCAAACTTCAGTCCCCCCCCCCCCCACGAGATTCCTTGGATACGAGCTTCATTTGCATAATGACGGTGCGTCTCTCAGCTTCAGTCATTATGTGATTGAGTGTGATTATTAACCAGCCTTCCCCCTGATGGATGCTGTGTTTCCATTCGCTAATGAGTGAGGGATCAGAGAGCGTCTCTACATGTCTCTATCATCTCACTCCCAGCTGACGTCTTCTTTATGGACGTCCCTGTTGGTTAGTCCACCTGGATACACTCAGCAGAGGCACCTCCGGGTGCAGCTCCTGTGTCACAGTGTTCAGGTGGAGGAACATGCTATCGTTGTCCCACAGGACGGACGAAGCTTTAAACACTGACTGAAGTTTGTCTTTTAAATCAGTCACTGGTTACTATGGAGATTCATGTCGTCAAATATCATGAACTGTCTATAAAGACCATCAGTGACTGTATAAAAAGATGATCAGTGACTGCACACTCACTGATCTGATCTAAATTAAAATAATCAACACATGTTCTCAGGTCAGATTCTGTGGCTTCAGGAATGTGTGTGTGTGTGTGTGTGTGTGTGTGTGTGTGTGTCAGCGGTGACCTCTCCATTGTATCATTGCAGCACATTAACCATTCTGAAATGGGACTCAGTTGTTTCCAAAAACTACCAATCACAAACCAGTGAGCAGGCGCGGTGGCAGCAGCCAGGTTGGCACGCCGATGTGCCAGCGGGCTCTCGGAGGCTGGCCAGCTTCAGGGCGCTCTCCTCGCTGCCACCTCCCTCCCTCGCTGGCTGCCGGGCTCCCGGCGATGCTGAGAAAAGCCTGCTGCTACGCCTGCCTTAGAGGAAGGCGGCTTCCCGGGCCAGGCGGCGCTGCCTGGCAGCTGGAGCATCAGGCCTGGCTGCTGCAGGCGAGGCGTTCCAGGCCTTCGGGTAATTACAACACTTGCCCTTTGAAAGCGAGCCCTGTGCTGCCGGCCCTTCCTGATCGGTGTTATCTGGACGCTGTGATCCGAGTGGCGGCCTCTGACGTCGTGCTGCACCATCCTCAGGGAGCCTTTGAAGGACTGTCTCAGTTTCTGTGTGTGTGTGTGTGTGATAGCGCCAACATGCCCAGACAAACCCTCTCTTTGTGCTTAAAGTAGATTCCACTTGTCGAGACGTCTGAAGTGGCCACTGAGCGGCGAGGAGGTGCGGCCAGCAGTAATGATGCTTGTGTGGCCCGGTCGAGGCTCAACGGCCAAACTGGCTCCTGTGGCTGAATTATTTTTGGGGCCTGTCTGTGTGTGTGTGTTCGTGTGCGTGCGTGCATGTGCATGCGTGTGTCTATGCCTGTGTGCGCGTGTGTGTGTACAGCGACCTGAGGAGCCTGTGCAGCAGCGATGAGGGACGAAGGCTCTCTGCCAAAATGAGTGACAGCAGCAACTACACACACTGTTTGTTTTGGGTTTGCCAATTTTGAGCCATGCGCGCGCACACACACAGTCATACACTCACACACACACTCATACACTCACACACACTCTCACGACTTCACGCTCCCTCTCAGGTCTGTGTGTGTTGTTCTCTCAGTCATTATCCGGCCGTGGTGTTAGCCTGTTTGCGGCCCGGGGGGAAACGTCATTAAGGCGATATTGTGGACGCTCAGCCAAGGTTTGTTTTCGTCTTTGGAAAGGGGCCCCGGGTCCCTGGAGGGGCCCCGGCAGTGCTCCTGGGGTCCAGTTTGTTTATAACACTTCTTTGGCAGTTTGGAGGAGGTTGTCACCACAGCAGCACCAGTGGGTTTCCAATGCTAATTGGTCTCCTGGAACTTTCACTAATGGTTCCAAGTAGCTGGGGGAATAAATTATTGTGGCGCATTCTGCGGCAACAGTCACACAGACACATCCACACAGAGACAGGGAGACAGCGGGGACACAAACACGGCGCTTAGTTTATGATTTTTCTGTACTTACAGATCAAACGGCGTGATAAATGATTCATAACGTGGCTCATTTGGCATTCGCAGCCTCGATTTGATGCTTGTTTGTCAAATGGCAATTTGATTCAGGACAGCATGGGGCGAATGCAGGAGTTTAATTGGAAGTCACGGGTCATGTGCAGTATGATTAATTTTTAAGAATTATGTTAATAACCCACAGCACAAAGAATAAAAGACAGAAGGACAAGAATTCAGCTTGTGAGAAGATACAGACAGAAACGAGACATGATGTCAGGACCGTTGTTGTTGTCATCAGTGACATCACTTCTGTCAGATTCTCAGATCATCACACACACACGCACACGCACACACACACACACACACGCACACACACACACTATTAAAACTCATCTGTTTCCCACCAGAGCAGAAAACTGAGTTTGACCGACTCATTGCCGTCATTAAATGTGAAGATGTGAGAGTAATATTATCTGTGTTTCATATTCTTAATCTGAGCAGATTTTAATTAATATGTTTGAGCTGCAGTTTGTTTCTTTTTTTCTTTCTGTTGAATAATTGAATCATTATTATACATTCATCACATTCGTTTTGTGTTTTCATCGTCTTCTATTTTTACGCTTCTATAATCTTTTACTATGAAATGTGTTGACTGATCAGGACAAAACACGATTCAGGAACATTTAGAACATTTTTAACAAGGTGAGATCAGACGTAAGTCGTGGTGGACGTAAGTCAGCGACTTGTTGGGGAAGTTTTTGTTTAACGGATAAAAACAAGTAAAGACTTCAAGCAGGACGAGCATCTTCATCCAGGTTATAACAGCTGTTGTCAGCAAGTGAAGGTGTGTTGGTCATGTGACGACATTTCATCACCATCTCAGTCTCCTTGAAACAACGTGCTTTGTTTAAGTGTCACGACGAAATCTTTGTTTAAATTACGCTTTGCGGTCGTTTTAGGATGTCCTAAAAATTAAGCTTTAAAATGTACTCCTGACATTTTAAAGTATAGTTTGACTCAAGGGCCACTTACTAACTTTTCCTGGAGCTATTAACCAGACACACATGTTGATCATGAGCCCCGCCCTCGTTTTTTAATAAAAATGTTAGCCCATGATAAACCTTATCCTCCGGTGAAGACCCTGAATGACAGACAAAGCACAAGGAAACAATAATAGGTTTGAATAAATAAAATAATTTGTGCTCATTTAGAGCCAAGATGGATCCAGATGTTTGGTAAAATCGTAGTTTGATTTATTTTCAGGATCTCAAGTAAAAGAAAAGCTGATGAGTTGAAGATGTTTGTCGTCACAGTGAGTTTAAAGAGAGAATCTGTGTGATGGATATTAATGTGTTGAACTCGTCTGCTGCTGTTCAAACACCAAACTGACCACACGCCACCAAAAGCCTCATTTGGCTCCACCCGTCCCCTGCAGAGCTGAAAGAGAAACATAACACCCCCCCTCTTCTCCGGATGCCTCCAGACTGTGGACCAGCGGCCAGTGGGATGAGACGCCGGCCGCTCTGCCCTCTGGCTACCTGGACGGCTGTTTGGCGAGCAGTCGTCCAGTTGGCTGGCTGGTTTCAGGGGCGGCAGCAGCGTTTAGAGTTATAATGTGAGGGACGGGGGCAGGGGGCGACCACAGCGGTGCCTCCAACACTGGGTGTCGGCCAACTGTTAGTGACCTTGGTTTGGACCAGACCCAGCTGGTGTGTGTGTGTGTGTGTGTGTGTGTGTGTGTCTTTCAAAATCAAAGTTGTCATCCTGGAGATACTGAGTGCTTTAACACTTTATTTTGAAGCTCCGTCACTTCCTGATCTTTAAAAAAATCTTTTTGGAGACAAAGTTAACAGTTTAAATTAGTTTATATTAATATTCACTCATTAATAACATTTTTCCTGTGTGGTGTAGAATTGTTTCATTAACTGTAAAGTCTGTTATGTGGAACTGTCTCTGTTTTACTCACTGATTCATTTTTTTAATGCAGGAAACATTGAGAGTTTATGAATCAGTCCGATGTTGAATTTAGAACATGACTGTCAGCCGCTCGCAGATAAACTCAGTGAGAAGACTGAGCTGAAGTTTGAAGTTGAACTGAACGTTGTCGTCGTCTCTGACTTTGGATCTTTTTGTCTTCCAGTCGCTGTTGTGACAAGAAAAGCTGCGGAAATCGCAACGAGACGCCGTCTGACCCCGTCATCATCGACAGGTAGGAGCTCAGCTGGTCTCTGTGCCTGTTCGTCCTCTCAACACAAACTCACTGTTTCACTCTGTCAGTCAGACTCATTTTGCATTTTGTCTTTGTTTCTTTACTCTTAAATCAAATCTGCAGAAGACTTGAGGTGTGAACAGTTTTCAGCCTCATTGTGTTGAGGTGATTCTTGTCTTTGAATGTTGCCTGGTTGCTGTCAGTGAACGGAGCACAGTGCAGATCTGGATCACTGGTGCTTTTGGCTCTGGAGCTTCTATTCTGCTCATTGGATGTTGTTCCATCTGCTGATTGTTTCCATTTCATCTTTGAAAGTCAGACTTTAAACATGCTGCAGATACGTAGAATAAATACTCTTCACTCAAGTCCACTTACTACATCAACGTTTCCAGAAAACAACCTGGTTTGTTTAGTTGTCACGTAGAAATCTGTGATTTAGGTAAAGTTAGGATTTCTGAAAAGTATAACTTTTGTTCCTGATGTTGTAATTAGTTGTTTGACTCAAGGGCCACTTACGAGCTCTCCCTGGAGCTGTCAACCACAAAGAAGCCGATGTAGAAATCTCGTCTTTGTTTCTCTGGATAAGTTGAGTCTGTTCCTCGTTTTACATCCAAAGATAAAATGTTGGCTCCATGACCTGATTCACTGACGAAGACTCTGACACACGCTTGAAAGCATCAACTTGACTTCAGTGGAAATTAATCTTCAAACTATTGGAATATAATTAAGAATAATAATACATATTTGTACATGTAAAGTGGAGCAGCTTCATCCAGTCGTGGGCTTTGTTCAAACACAGAGGACATCTGATTTCTTTGTTTGCTCATCTGTTTTCTCACGTCTCACTTCCAACACGAGGCTCGACTGTGTGAACTGTAATCAACACCACATGGAAAACAACGTGTACAAGCACGCACTCAGACGTGCTCGTCGTCCTCTAACTTCCCTCATGTCAGGTTTTATAAACTGGATTTAATGTGACACAGATTTCCCTCCTGTTCTGGACGTCGTTCACCAGCTCAGGAATCTTTAGACTTTCTGTGCCCCTGGTTTTCCTCAAAGGCTCAGTTCCCTCCCCTCTCTGACAGTCGAGAAAGAGCCTGCAGACGAAGCTCAGGACTAAAGTTTCCCATCACATCAACCTCTTGAAGAGAGGAGAGGAAAAACATCCAGGTCATTGAAAAACTAATACAAATCAATACGACACTTTCTAAAGCCGTTGTTTTCCCTCACAGGCGTCTGTCAATAGATGTAAATGGGATTTTTATAAATTCTGGATATTATATTTCAGCTGAACTGACTGTGATCAGCTCCTGTTTGCAGTGAACTCAGTGATGAATGTAACTGTGACACTGAAGGAAACTTAAAAACATCAAATATCTACATGAAGTTCTGCAGCCTCGGATTTCTCTGCTCTCATCTCTCAGCGTGAATCTTCACCAAACAGCCAATCAAAAACATCTGCACCACAATCCCTTATTAGTGTTCGTCCTCGCCGTCTAATCCCTCCGTCCTCCACGTCCTTGGAGTCGGCGGCTGTCCATCACAACGAACAACTGCGATTGGTCGGGTCGCAGTGGTGGGAGCCAACGACCTCAGAGGAGGTCAGAGGGGAGGACGTGTGTGTCGGGGGGGTTGGTACTGAGTCCATGTTGGCTCATTAGCGAGGCCTTGGACTGCAGCCAGGACACACACACACGCAAGAGGACATGCATACACTACACACATGTTCATACATGTCAGAATGGAACTCATCCGTGTGTCTGTACACATATGATCACTGTGGTGCGTCCTCTCAGCTCAGTGTGTGTGTGTTTGATGGGGGTCTGTGTGTGTGTGTGTGTGAGTGTGTGTGTGTGTTTGATGGGTATGTGTGTGTGAGTGTGTGTGTGTGTTTGATGGGTGTTTGTAGAGGTTTCGTCACCTCTCTGTGTTCTGTCACACATGAGATGGACTCAATACATCACCCAA